AAAATCCAAAATATTGCCAAAGTCCATGATTCTTAGCCAGAACATATCTTAATAGTCAGCCTACTGGTCTATCTATCTTTTTACCTATCCCTATGACCTAACACTTCCCACCAAAAATGAATATTGTTAAAGCAGAGCTTTTATGAACAGTTTCATTTATTGGATCTGCTCCTTTAAGCAGTGGTATTGTTTTAGCAATGTTTATTTTGGTATAACTTCAAACATAGAGAAAAGTTGCAAGAATACACAGAATTTCCATATACTTTTTACTCAGATTCACCAGTTAGTTACATTTTGCATCATTTACTTCCTCATTCTCTTCCTTTTCCTTTCCCACTCTCTTTCTCTCTTATTCTCTTTGTATATATGTACTTCCCTCCCCACTCCTAAGCTGCTTGAATACATTAAAGATACTGTGGTCCTTTCTTACTAAAGATATCTGTGTGTATTTCTTAAAAACAAATATATTTTTAAAGATATTCTTTTATATAACCAGAACACAATGATCAAAGCCTGAGAATTTAACATTAGTTCAATATTCTTATCTAATCCATGGTTTGTATTCAAATTGCATCAGTTGTCCTAATAAGATCTTATAACTTTTCTGTCTTAATAATGTAGGATCCAATCCAGCACCATACACTGCATTTCATTGTTATATCTTACTTTATTTTTATCAGAAGCAAGTATTCAGCCTTTTTTTCCTTTTTCTTTCTTTCTTTTCTTTTTTCCCTTTTAGTATTTTCTGACATTGACATTTTTTTGAGCATAAGTTAGTTGTTTTGTAAAATATCTCTCAATATGAGTTTGTCTGATGTTTCTTCTTGATTAAGTTCTGGTTACACATTTTATACAGGAAATACCTCTGAAGAGATATGTCCTCCTCAGGGCATATAATCTTGAGACACATGATGTCAGTTTGTTGCAGTTTTGTGAATGTTAGCTTTGATCACTCAGTGAAAGTATAGCTGCCAGTTTTTTCTGTACAATTATGATTTTCGTTTTGTAATTCACAAGTAACTTCTGTGAAGATACTTTGAGAACTGTATAAATATCCTGTTTCTCATTAGATTTTGATCCTCTAGTTTTAGCATCCATTGATGATTTTCTAATCACTTTATTCATGTTTTACTTATTTGTTGGCATTCTGGTATAAAAATAGAACTATCATTTTTCTCTCAATGTTTATTTATTCATTTACATCAATATGGAGTCATGGGTTTTTCTTTTATTTGATGAGTCATAATTTATTGCCTTCATTATATATATTCATCTTTGAATTCCCAATAGAAGTCCCTTCCAACTGGTTACTCTATTGTTTGGATATGTCTCCATCGTTATTTTCTGGCTCTTGAAAATATTCTAAGCTCATTTTTCATTCTCCCTGGCATAGCTCTCAAGTTAACTTATTCTCAAAGAAACCCCAGTTTCTTTAGGGGAAAATAACATTTCTAAATAATAATATTTAGAAACCAAAAATGAGATATATACATATGTACTCCCAGGAAATAGATGTCTATATCAACAAGTACAGATAGTAATATAGATATAGGATAATGTATAGATACTGAGCACAGGTTCATACTGATACATCCAATTCCAATCCAAAACATTTTCCATTATGACCAACACTGATCTATACTGAAAAAATCATTTTTTCTTCTTGGAAAAAAATATATCCTCTTTGTTATTAACTGCAGGTAATTTTTATCTCAAGTTCTTGTAACAAGGTATTATTTTTCCTCAATATACTTGACTCCACAACCCAATATAATATCATGTTTGAATTTGTCAGTAAATTCATGTACTTTTTTAGTCTAATAATTTAAAGTAAAACTAAACTTCTAAAACAAAACAGTTTGCCACTTTTTAAATATTTTCCATGATTGACAAGTGTCTCTTTTTTTTTTTTTTCAGTTGCTTTACTTTGCTCATTTATCTGTTCGGAGCACTCTGTCCTCTAGGGCTGATTGCCTCTGTGTTTTCTGAGCTGAAGCAAAGTCTTTATTATACTTGCTTTGTTGTTGTTGTTGTTTGTTTTGTACTTTTTGTATTTGTCTTGTTTTCTAATTCTTTTTGTATTTTCCTATTTGCTTTTTGCTACAAGTTTAACTTCTATACCGAGCCCAAGACAAACACATTCTCCCTCCATTCAGCAGACACAGAGACAGCAATGGATAGTTTTGCTGTTTAACTTTATCATGTGTTAATGACATTGTCTACACATATTTGTACAAGTCTTTGTTCATATGGGTTTTGTTTGTATGAAAAAGGATATCTGGGCATGTTAGAAAAGCACAGTTGATTGAATTCTGAAGAAATTTTGAGGTAAGAGGAAGTTAGGAGAAAATGTGTGGAATGCCTACCACATTCTCAGTAAGGAGGATTAAGTTTGTCAGTAAAAAGCAAATGGGTTGGTGACATGCTGGAAGATCCAGTAGAATGAAACAAGTTAAAAATGGTCATAGTGGAGGTTAAAAACAAAAAGTGAAATGGAAGTGAGTAAAAGGATTGGTGAATAGCACTGATGGCTAGACTGAGTCAGATTGACGATATGATTTTATAGAAGACCATAAATATTATTGTGTAATTAGTGCCAGAAATATTCAATAGAATTTTTTAAAAATAGGGAGATAAATAGAAGAAAGTGTTTATCTAGAATTTAGAATTGGCAATATAGATTCAGTAATGGGATCAGGGAGTAAAGGAAAATAAGAGGCCAGGAAGTATAGAATTGAAATTATGGACCATGATGCCAAGTTTGAGTACAGAAGGAAAGGAATAAGGAAGAAGCAGAGTGAAACCACAGGGCAGGGCAGGTTATGAGTAATGTGAAATAGATGAAAAGTTGACTAATTGAAAAGGTTATAGAGTTATATAAATAAAGCATTATTGTTAAAGAAAAAAATTCACATACATTTCCTGGTGAAAGATATCAGAAGAGTACTCAGAAAAACACTGCCAAGATTTGAATACTTGATACACATGGATGTGAAATTTGCCCAGGCTAAGGAAAAATGTTCTCAAGTGCATCAAAAAAATTCAAATGCATTGTTTCTAAAAATGTTGGTACAATTTATAATTAGTATTTGGCAAGATTATAGATTCTTCTGACATTAAAAACAATTCTCCTAGCTGATATTTTAAAACAATCTATAACTATTTTCCCCTTTCCTTTCCTGATGCACACCTTACACTAAAAGTTTTTATGAAGGTTTAATAATTGGCAAGAGGTAAGTTAGCATGCTTCTATAATGTCTCTTAGAAGCTTAGAAAAGTGATAGCCTACAGCAAGTGAAATAGACATTCTAGAACTTCTATGAAGATGGTAGGAGAAGGGATCAAAAAGCTCAAAGAAGCAAGCATGCAAAAGTAGATTTTGTCACACAAGGCCAAAATCCCCATCAGTCATCTATGTTTCACAGGAGACTCCAAAGGATACTCTATTTGCCCAAGCAATATGGAATTCATTGGTGAGCATTTTTGAGAAATTGAGAGATGACTACCTGGGATAACATTAAGAGACACTATTATAGAATATTGTTCCCTAAGAGCAAAGAGGATGGCAAAATCATAAAACAATAGAGGCCAAGTGGTATCATTTAAATATCAGAAGCAAAGTTGGTACATTTACTTTAAGTAGTGTCGAAGTTGGGGTAGTAACCAGTGGGATCTGAACTTCAGAAATTTATGGAGATGGTTAACAGAACATGCCAACCATAGGTGCAAGATGGGTAACCAACAAGAATGTTACTCAACCTACACAATCAAAAGAAATCAAGGATGGATTCTCAGGTGGCTGAGAGCAGCCATCCCTGAGAAAATGTTACAATATCTTGTTCAGTTTCCAAAAATGAACCATTTTTCAGACTGGAACCTACTGATTGAAGGGGAGGCCAGGTCCCCAAGAGGAAAGGATCATGAAATTTCAACACGTATATACAGTTTCTTCCAGTCCTTCCTAAATGACCTATCTAAACATTTACTAGAGTACTCTTATGCTAGGGGAAGTGATATACTCAAGCACTTCTGGGACTAGTATGTAGTGTCTGAATTGACAGTGATCCCTAGAGGCCATAATAGTCATTACAGACATCTTATTAGTCTGGGGCCATATGTAGACAGACAATAAATGGAGGCCTAATCCAGATCTGTCTTGCAGTGGGTCCACAGAGATACTTATGGTCATTTTTTTTATCAGCAATAATTAGAATGGATATTCTTGGTAAATGGTAGAACCCCCATATTTATTCCTTGGTTTATGGTGTAGGACCTATGGTAGTGATCTGTGGAGAACAGCAGAAATTAATGCCACCCTAAAAGGCCAAAAGTGCAGGACTCCTTTCCTATCCCCCATTTAACACACCACTCTGGTCCCTGCAATAAACAGACAAATTCTGGAGAATGATAATAGATTATCACAAACTCAAACTAGCGGTAATCCCATTTACAGCTGCTGGGCAAGATGTGATATTTTTTCTAGGGAAGATTAACATGATCTCAGGTTACTACATGTATATTGCATGTATATTATACAATCATTCATCAGTAAAATATATTCTTTTCTATCTTTATCAGAAAAAAAACCAGAAGTTGCTCATATTGGTGTGGGAGAAAAAATGATTTGCATTTACATTTACATTTACAGAGATAGCTACAATGGGAAAAGACAATGTGTGGAGGTAAAGGCAAGCTCTGGTATGAGAATCAAAATAGAGACCCTCCTGAGTTTCTTAGGATATTTATTTATTATTTAATTTTTTAATGTTTATTTTTTTATTTTGAAAGAGGGAGAGAACAAAGAGGGGAGAGGCAGAGAGGGAGATAGAATCCAAGGCAGTATCCAGGCTCTGAGCTGTTAGTCCAGAGCCTGGTGTGTAGGGCTCAGCTTAACAAACTATGAGATCATGACCTGATCCAAGGTTGGACACTTAACTGACTGAGTCATGCAGGTGTCCTGATCCCTCTGAATTTCTAAAGCAAGGCCTCACTCTCTGCAGCTACCAGGCCTTGAAAATGATAGAATGAATGACTGCCTAGAACACATCAAGTGACCATGTGACCAGAGCACCCATGATGAGCTGGATTCTGTCAGACTCAACAAACTAGAGAGTGAGGTAAGTGCCAAGCAATCAATCAAAATAAAAGTAATGCCTTTGTTATCAGGCACAAGCAAGTTCAGAGGGCATGCTCAAGCAGATAGACTAGACTCCATATCATCTATTAGTATTGCACCTATATCTTTTCATCAGATCATATCTACACTATCAGCACAGTCCCTTAATATCAGCTGACAGAGGAGACAAAAAAAAATATGAGTTTGGTTTATATGGGTGAGCTCACTATGTGAATTTGATGCAACTGTCCCTGAAGAATAGTTAGTATATAAGGTTCTTCCCCTGGGAACATGCCTTAATGGCCAAGACATCTTCAATGGAAAGAATTTTAGTTTGCAATCACAGATTACTGGGCTCTAAATAATTCTCTTCAATTCTGCTTGGAAAAACACCACTGTCTGAGCACATCTCTCTTTTATAGTGCCTCTTATCAATTCTAGTTAGCAAAAACCAGCTTGTGCTATCATTTCTGCCACAAAACCACCTTGCCTTTTCCACAAGTTTATTAGGTACTTTTTTCATTCTCTAGGCTATTGCAGACAAACTGTTTGACAAAATGATTTACCACCATGTAACATGAGTCACCATTTTCCTAAAAAAATTATAGGTTTTTGCCATCTGGTTTGAAAATCAGTATACATGTTTTAGTTACAGAAGAACCCTATTTCTAGTACCAATTTCTGTATTTATACGTTTTTGTACAATAATGTTACAAAACCTCAAAAACCTCAATGGCATCAAAACAACAAATATTTTCACATTTACAGCTCTGTGGGTTGGATATAGGCAGTACTTAGCTAAGACAAGGTGGAACCTAGGCTTCTGTCATGGTTCATTTCTATTCCATATATTTTCATTTAGAAATACAGGTTACCTGAAGCATATTCTTTTCATATTAGATGACAAGAGGGCAAGTGAAACAAGTAGAAGATGCTATTGCAGTGCTCCTTAGTGCTTTGTGCCAAACCTACATAGTATCACTCTGTCTGCCTTCTACTGGCCACAGCATGCCGAATGGCCAAGTCAGTGATGGGGGGGGCGGAGGTCATAGTATGTTCATCCATCGCCAGAGGATCTGAAAAGTCATATGGCCCTAACTGTCAGATCTATACTCACCCTATGCTCCAGCTATCTGTATCTGCTACTTACTTTTTCAAACTCACCTACAGCTATGCTCTTACATCTTACTAGAAAATGTTCTGCTTTCTCTGCTAATTACACTTATTATTCAAGGTCAAACCCCCAAAGCACCTTCTTTGAAGTCTCCCCCGTCCCATCTTCATCTTCATCTAACTTCATACAATTTTTTGTTTTTCATTGAATCTCTGTTTCTGCATTACAAATATATAGGTATGTGTATCTACAGACAGATTATAATCTCTTTAAAGGAAGATACAATATTTTACTCATAAAAAGAGCTTCTTCTACAAAAGAACTTCCATACTATGTGCCACTTATTTAGTGAACAGGTTAAAGGTGTGGTGAAATGTTAATAGCCCAACCAAAGGGGGCCAGTCTGGGCCTGGAACAGCCAGAGTCCCTGAGACTGTCACCTCCACTGTCACTTTTGTTTGCACTGATATGTAACACAAACAGTTATTTTTTGTGTGCCATTGAAGAAGCTCTAAAGCACCTAGACATGTGTTGTTCTGTTAATAAATATCTCATAAATACTCACTAAGCAAATTAACAAACTATAAATCCTTTCTATAAATTAAATGAATAGCAATTTAAAATCATACATTTTGAAGCAAATATTCTAAGGTCAAATACTACAGATCAGTGTGAATCACACATTTTATTGGAGTTTAAGTTGCATAAATTACATTAAGTTGTCATGGGATTTCTTAAATATGATGTTAATACATAGAAAATATGATTGTGCAAGTTATAGAAAAAATACATGCTTGAATAACTTTTAAAAAGGCATTATTAACTAAGTCTTTTCTTTCTTAAGTATTTTGAAGTCCAACCAGTAGGAATAAGTCAGATAATAATAAACAGAATTTACCTAAGAAAAGTTGATCAGCACATTTCTTCTGGTCAGGAGAAAATTATATTTTCTTGGGGCTAATGAAAACATGTCAAGATGAGTTATGATTTAACTAATTTCTGTGTGTCCATTTTATCTATATCTGAATGTTGGCCTATCTGATTTTCCCTCCTACAAGGCTAGAAATCTGAAAATACAATACAAGCTAAAGAATGGGCTGTCTCATCTCTTATGTCTGATACTATGGAGCTGTCTCTGCATTTTACTTGTCTTCCTGGAACTCATACCAATGCAAATGAGATAGATAAAAACACTGGGCACGTCCCTTAGTTTAGAGATCTGCCACCATGGTGGAGGAGATTGTTAAAAAGCTTTATAATTAAAGATTTATTTAATCTCATCTGTTCCCCTTATCAGTAGTCCTTGAATCAATTCCGTTTTCTTATTTCCTTTGCTACCACCTTTGTCCAATTTGCCATCTTGTCTAATGCTCTCTGTGCCAGCACTTTTATTTATTAAGGGAAAAATTATTTCTCCTTTACTTGATTAATACCTCTCCCTATCCTGGTTTGTACAGATTTGGTTAGTAAACATTTATTATATACCTAACACATACAGAACAGTCTTCTAGATGCATGGAGGATAGGTAGATTTAGAAAGTGCAGTTTCTATCTACATGAGACCTATGGCTTATTAAATAAGCTATCTATAGCAGTAACTATAATGTAAAGTTATGTCATGCTAATGCATAGGCTAAGGAACAAGTCTGGAGCCAGACTGATTCCATTTCTGACTCACAAGTGTCTAGCTGCATGACTTTGTAAAAATTATTCAATTTATTTCCTTATCAATAAAATGTACTCAGTAAGAGTATCTACCTTGAAGGTTTGTGTTGAGAATCAAATGAGTTACTATGTGCAGAGATCTGAGCATCATGCCTGGAACACAAAAAGTACCAAACAAATCTTAGTTACTATTATTACAGGAGAAAAAGATCACTTTTAACTTAGAGAATCACAGAAAGTTTCATGAATTAGGCAGCACTCAGACTGAACTTGAAAGGTAGAGGTTAGGTATTCTAGACAGGGAAGTGAAGGAGCAAAAGTCTGTCATGAAATAAGCAGGCTCCTTCAAGAATTTCTGCATTCCCCACAGGCAAACAGAAGATGGGGTCAATAACTTAATGTGGGCAACTGGTAATTAGTGAGACTAAATGATCTATGATTGCTTCTTTTCTGGGTCCTTCCCTCTCCTGCTATTTCTAACAGAATGGTGATTTCTCTGTGTGTAAAAAGACAGGAATGGATTAGATGATTATATTAATTTCCTGAGTGGGAAACCAAAAATCATTATGAGATTACTTGAAAGTCAGGTCCTAGATATTTGCAGGAGCAAGCCATCACTTGCCTGGCTCCCAAAGCAGTTCCTTACCTGCAGGCCTTTATTCCCTCCCCAACTCTGTCCTCCTACACTCCCAATACACAAGTGCATGCACACGTACATACACATACACACCCGCCTACGCACACATCTTATTTTGCATCTGTTTACAGGTAGACAAATGTACATTCTAATGTGAACACCTAGAGGTAATGACTACAGTTTTGTCTCTATTAACTGAAAGCAGTGACTGGTTTCAAACCAAACAGAAGAAAAAAGTAGCCATGTAGCCTGCTGTTACAGGCAGTTTTTTCTTTTGTTTTGTTTTGTTTTTGAAGTAGGCAGAACCACAAAGAACTTCATGCAAACCAATTGTAGCTAACCTAATGGGCATGAAGGAGAAAGTAGAGCTGATGAAAGTCTGGTCTGTTCCCTCAAAAAGAAGGGAATAAGTCAGGCACAAAAAAACCTTGCTTCACGCTAGAGAAAGCTGAATAAAAGTACTTTTTTAAAAAAAATATTTTTTATTTATTTCTAGGAGAGAGAGAGAGAGAGAGACAGCGTGAGCAGGAGAGGGTCAGAGAGAGAGGGAGATACAGACTCCGGAACAGGCTCCAGGCTCCGAGCTGGCAGTCAGCACATAGCCCGACTCGGGGCTCGAACCCACGAACTGCGAGATCATGACCCAAGCAAAAGTTGGACGCTTAACTGACTAAGCCACCCAGGCGCCCCTAAAAATACTTTTTAAAAGTTGCTTAGGATATATTCACACTAGCTCTCTGCATTTTAAGTTAGTAGATTTTTGCCGACTTTGCTGTTTATTTGAAACTGCACAGAATTGACATCAGTATCCAAAGAGGTCAAAGTATTATCTCCAGTTAGCCAACCAAATTTTTAGTCAGCTACCTTAATGATATTCAGGATAGATACATGTATTAAAATATGACTTGAACTACCTTTGAATTTGTCTGGATCATCTGAATTGCTTGAAAATTAGCTATGTTATACAAAGGGCTTTGATTAATATGACCTAAAGAAAGAAATATGACGTAAGTTGACTGTAGCTCAAAAACTTCATTTTCCTAAAGTTTTTTTACAAAAAGGTCATCAGTTATGATTCATCAATCACTGGCTAATGTAACTAGACAATATTTTACTTTCATTACTCACCAGGCCATGATTCTGAGTTTGTGGAAATGTGGCTGTCTTCACAGTCATCACCCAATAGCAAAAACGTTCTTGGTTAGCAGAATAGCTAATAGACATAATTTACTAATGTACCTTTTGTTTAAAATATCATTGGCCCTACCAATATAGAAAATTTTTAATTAAGCATCTGTTGGTGGTCCATTAACTCTTTCCTTTGGGCTGGGCCAGAATAAATGATTTCCTATCTGATGGGATTTTATTTTTTAAATTTATTTTAAAAATTTTAATGTTTATTTATTTTTGAGAGACACAGAGTGTGAGTAGGGGAGGAACAGAGAGAGAGAGGGAGACACAGAATCCAAAGCAGGATCCAGGCTCTGAGCTGTCAACACAGAACCTGACAAGGTCTCTGAAACCATGAGCCATGAGATCATGACCTGAGTCAAACACTCAATTGACTGAGTCATGCATGTGCCTC